TTTTTTTTTTTATTTTTTTATTTTTTTATTTTTTATTTTTATTTTTTATTTTTTTAATATAACTGTAGATATCAGATATTTATGCAAACGAATATTTTCCACAAAACCCGACGCAAAAGGTAAAAATGAAAGCCATTAGTTAGACTACGCGGAAATTTTCCGAATTTTTGAGACCTCTCAAGATTTTCTTCAGAACCGCTCAAGATTTGCGCGAGCCTTTTCAGGATTTATGCTTTACTTTTCGAGATCTTCGTTTTTTGGACTTTTTCGGGCTCTGCATTCATTTCGGGACTTTTCTGTTATTTTTGGGGTGTTTCGTGTTCTATTTTACGGGATCTCCCACAAATTTTTTCAGGTTTTATCAAGACTTGGGGGCTATTTTCCGGACATTTGGCTTTACTATTCAGGCATTTAATTAAATACTTCAGAATATTTTGGGGTTTCCGAGACTTTTTTAAGATTTTGTCGAACCGAGATCTACGTGTATTAATATTTTTTTTGTTCAAGGATTAAGCTTTACAGCGGTTTAACTCGAAATTTGTATTCCTTAGAATATGACGTTCTTCCAGCAAACCAGCGATATGTAGCATGGCTTGTGACTTGATTTCTCAAGTTCAATTCAGTACTTACATTCTTCTGCCAACAAATGTTGAGCTTCTGCTTTTGTGCCAAATAATTTCGAACAAAGTAAATTCCTGCTTCCTGAATGATTTAAGACAAAATTCAATTTCTCCAAGACATCTTTGTTCAGTTCCTTGGTGGTTAGGTTTAATAAAGTGGTTGGATTCTAGGGATTTGAAAAAAAAAGTGATTGATGTATGCATACATGCATATATTTTTTTCTCTTTCCAAATTCAGCTTACCCTCATGAAAATTGAAGCGCTGCCAGTCTTATTTTCATTTTTCTTAACCACTTGCTGCTGCTGCTGCGGCACTACCAGCTCATCTCCTACATTCTGTTCCACTGTGCTATTTGGCGTCGGCTCACTTAACTTCAACGCCCCCAACATATCGACCACTTCAGCATTCCCGCCATTCTCCGCTCCATCCGCACTTTCTACTCCAACAGGTATTTCATTATCAGCCCCATTTGCATTACGGTGGCTACGCCGTTTTTCTGCCGCCGTCAATGGTTTAGCCGTATCAGCGCGCGATGGCACTTTGAGGGCCCATTTGACGTGGTCTAATGTATGAGTATTTGAGCGCTTCCATTTAGATGCCGAATAAACTACGGACTCTTCTAAACGCATATCAAACAACTCCACTGAGGTAGATTTACCAGCACACATCACAATCTGTTCGTCGGTTGGCAAAAAGATGCCGCATGTCATTGGACAGGGAAATTGTTTAAGAAATTTCTCATCGTTTGTGTTGCAATTCAAATCCCAAACGCGTATACCACCATCGAAACCACAAGTGAGAAACTCTGTGGCACTGCGGTTGCTCCATTTGACGCAAGCATTAGCAGCTTTTGGATTTTTAATCTCTATGCGACGCATGGGCGTTAGAAGACCTTCTGGTGATATCGTTTTGAGTATGTGTATGTTGTTGGCATTGGCCACTACAGCAACTTGATCACTGGCTATGGGACTCCAGGAGATTTCGGTTATGTAGCGTGGCGCTAGCGGCACATCCTGCATTAGTTTATAGGAGTAGGGGTGATTGGGATTGCGTTGATACACTTGTATGTGACCCCGTTGTGTGCCTACGTAGAGTATGTGACCGCGCACTGATACTGTGGAAACGCTTTGAACCTCACGTATTACGTGGGCATCTGCGGAATGAAGAAAAAAGAGCGGACGTTAAGTTCGATTTTATTTATTTTTTTTGTTACTTTGTGGACTAATAACGTTTTTAATCAATTTAACGTTTTAATCAATAATCAATTTTACATTAGTTTAATTTGGTGGAAGTTACGAACCGACCTACATTTCGATGGTCATCTGCAATAACACAATTCAAAATTCGAAAAATAAAAATAAGAATTAGATATGGATTAGACAAACAGTTCAATGACCATCGCATTTCATAAGTCTACTTCTCGAGCTCAACGCGTTTGAATCACATTAACATCTTTATAAAGATATAAATTAATCTTTATGCCATATTTCCACTAGACATTGACATTTAAAAAATGCCATATGGAAATGAACTCAGTGACAATTTTTTTAACGTAATGACACGATTATTTTTAGTGGCCAACTATGGCATTACAATTTTGCCATTTAATGCCTAGTGGAAATCCAGCATTATGGTTGTTTTTCTTTCGTATGCAAATTAAAAAACAAACACGAATAAAATGACGATAACCAAAGTGATATCAATTAGCAAAAACATCTTATCACTAATAACGATTAATTTGGGTAGCAACGTCGGTCTTCATAAGTACATAGGCCCCTAATAATAGCGATAAATAATGTCAACAACAATATCGATAAGTTATTGGAAAAAATATTTACTATTGATAAAAATCAATATAAATATCTCGACATATACATATGTATATGGATAGGATACCCTTTTGTTGTTAACACTAATGTAGTAACCCAATTAATATTCACCAAATAACAATTTAGATATCAGTAATATCGATGAATTATTGTAAAAATTTATTTAAAATATATTGATAACGATGCACATGCATAAGTTAGCAATTTTCCATGATAAATGTGTCGTAAAGTTATCGACTAATGATATTGATAAGAGAACGATGTATGTAACTAATTTTAGTGATTTCAACGATCATCACAAAATGCTCCATCTACTTATGTAGAGGAAGGCAGCAAGAGTGCACTGCTTGTAATATATTGATTTTTCTATGGTCCTCACAACTTCGTGTAGGGCGGTTTTTGTTGACTTACCCTTATTATATATGTATTCATTATGGGCTATCGATAGTTTAGAAATCCCAGAGGAATTTCCAGGAACTTTGAAATTATTACCGGGTGCGCAGTAAAGTTTTCAGTGGTAAATGTTACCGCAAAAGTTGGTTTTCCGCTCAGTTGTTTTTAACTGTGAAACTGATCACAATGTGCTCAGGCTTTATTTTCAATTGAATGTTTCCCTCTCCTTTGTGATGCGACTGAATGGAAAGAAATTTTTTACCTGCAACGAACTCATTTGTTTAACATGGCGATGTCCTAGGAAGCAACTAATTTAAAATGCATTTGGATTAAACAACTTTAAGGTCAGTCGTTTGAA